CCCCCCCCCCCAAAAAAAATGACCTTCTCCCCAGCAACCTCCGCCAAGATCCCACCTTCCTTCACGACACCCATCTTGGCAGCCGGGGAGTTTTGCTGCACGCGCTTGACGAAGACCCCGTCATCCGTCTGGTCGATGGTGATGCCGTGGGAGCCGCTGCCTTGCCAGTTGGGGAGCAGGATCTCCCGGGTCTCCTCTTCCTTCTCCATCTGGGGAAGGAGAACAGAAAAAAGGCAGAGGGTAAGACAGGAAGTGGGACGGAGGAGACAGACGGCGGTTTTGAGCATGGAACGTTGAGGAAGAAGAGCTAAAGCAGCTCCATCTCACTGACCTTTGCTGGGACGCTGGTCCTGGCTGGATCCGCCCCAGGAATCCTTCTGCCTTCACTTGTGGACCTTGAAGCACCTTTCGTTTTCACCTTCCCAGCCTGGTGGAGACATCAGAGGGGTCCACGTGAAATTCCGGCTCTCCCTCCCACTCCCTCTTCCTTCCTTCCACCTTTCGATACCCAGACCGGACGGGAACCAAAGCGCGTCCCCCCCGTTGCCCCCACGTCACGACTCTCCCATGTCGCGAGACACGTGGTTCGGGTCAACGGGACAAGAAGAGAGAAGCTACCTAAGAACTTAACGTCACCACCACGGCCGTGGGTGGCAAATGGCCACCACGTCTCGTTGACCGCCCACCGCAGGTTGTCATCGCCTTGGACCAACGCGGTCCTTGGAGATGGTCTTCTCCTCCTCGGCGATAGACATCTCTGCCGTTGTACGGAAACTAGAGAAATTCGAAAGCCGGATGGTGGGGAAGTACAAAAGCAACAGTCGCTTCGCAACGTCAGCTCTCCTGCTTCACCCGCTTCTCCTTGACCGACCACGGCCCCAAAGTCGTCGTTTTTAGGTGGCAAAAAAGTTTTGAAGGGATTTCTCCATTTCTAGCGAGCTTCAGGCGAGCAGGAGAAATAAACAGAAAATAAATTCTCCTTCTGACGCGGCCGCAAAGGTCACGAAGGGCAGAGACGGGACCGGCCAGATCCTTCCAAAGCCTCTACCGAAGCGGCTCACGAGAGCGAACCCACCTCGTTAAGTTCTCGTTTCCTTAATTTGAACCCAAATTTAGAGAGAAGCTCGGTATTTCCAGCTGCTCGGGGCTCACCTGGACCGGCAACGGGAGGGCTTCTCCAAAAATAAACGGCTTCCCACCACATCTCCTTCACCCACATCTGCTGCCCCTCGCAGCTCTCCCAAGCACCGGCGAAGACAGGGACGCAGAAGGGGGTTTTTTTGGAGGAGATTTGGGGGTTTTTGACCTTTTCTCCAGGATCTGAACCTCAGAGCAGCTCATTCGGCACCAAGACGTCGGTCGAGCACGGCCGCGACGCAACTCTACGCGTGCGCACACCCACACATCCCCTTCCTGAAGGTTCACAGCAGGACCAAACCCAGCGAGGACACCGGCATGGAAAAGGTCAACGGAGGCGCTGCCCTTCACAGGGTCGCACAGATGTTCAAACGTCACCCTTGGCGCATGACGTTGTCTCCTTGCAAAGCCCCAAAGAAACCTCAAAACTGCCTAGCGAGCACGTCACGGGACCACGGATTGACGATCGAGGTGGGATGGGATCTCCGGAGGTCACCTGGTCCAACCCTCGTGGAGGACCACGTCCAGACCGCTTGCGACTATCTCCAAGGACGGAGACTCCACCAGCTCTTTGGGCAACCTGAGGACATCTG